GCACAAGGTTCTGAACACCAGCGGGTTAAAATATATTTAAGGTTTTCTTAGACTTTGGAGCAGCTGAGGGGAAAATTTGTTTAGAATTTAATGTCCTTCAAACAAAGGCATAAGAAAAATGTTAATGCAGTGGAACTGTTTGTGAAAACAGAAACACAAAGGATTTTAACTATCGAGGTGAAAGGGTAGTGTTCAATAAAGGTTAAAATCATGACTCCCATATAAACACAAAAATAAACACATGTATGAGATTTTAAGTTAACTCATTAATGAGGAGACTGGTATGATGTTACAACTATTATAGCTCAAAGGAGAATCCAAACAGCAGACGCAATGAAAGATCAGTAAGACTGAAGTGAAAAGAATGTGTAAATAAGAGGCAAAGGTTACCTTCTTCATGTGGCTAGGGAAGTCAGCTGAGTCTTCCTGGGACAGAATTTACATCAATAGACAAGAATTATGTTGTATTACTATCGGTTATCTACAATTTACAGAGTTGTACAATAGCTCCCTAGAATCCGAATTAGATGACATAAAATGGTGAACTACAGACAGTGAAAGAAAAGCAGTTCAGAGCAGTCTGTGGAATTCAAGGCTGGCCTTAGTAGAGCCTCTCCTCATCAGCATGCCAAGCCAGGCCTCAGAAAGCTCAAGAAAGATTCTTGCAAGCACAGGAAAAAGAGACAAATTTCTTTCCTTCAAGCCTAATCTGATGATTTAAGTCTATATATCCTAATGCCTCTCTGGTGTTCAACCACCTTCTCCCTTTTTAAGATTGCTCTGCAGGGAGTTAACACTAGGGGCTTCTCTTCTGATTAAATACATATGCCACAAAATAGCAGGTGCCTCTGGACACAATAAAAGAAATTTTAATAGGAAATTTGCACAAGGTTCTGAACACCAGCGGGTTAAAATATATTTAAGGTTTTCTTAGACTTTGGAGCAGCTGAGGGGAAAATTTGTTTAGAATTTAATGTCCTTCAAACAAAGGCATAAGAAAAATGTTAATGCAGTGGAACTGTTTGTGAAAACAGAAACACAAAGGATTTTAACTATCGAGGTGAAAGGGTAGTGTTCAATAAAGGTTAAAATCATGACTCCCATATAAACACAAAAATAAACACATGTATGAGATTTTAAGTTAACTCATTAATGAGGAGACTGGTATGATGTTACAACTATTATAGCTCAAAGGAGAATCCAAACAGCAGACGCAATGAAAGATCAGTAAGACTGAAGTGAAAAGAATGTGTAAATAAGAGGCAAAGGTTACCTTCTTCATGTGGCTAGGGAAGTCAGCTGAGTCTTCCTGGGACAGAATTTACATCAATAGACAAGAATTATGTTGTATTACTATCGGTTATCTACAATTTACAGAGTTGTACAATAGCTCCCTAGAATCCGAATTAGATGACATAAAATGGTGAACTACAGACAGTGAAAGAAAAGCAGTTCAGAGCAGTCTGTGGAATTCAAGGTCCATTTAAATTTTAAAGGCCTGAGTAAACAGGAGCCTGAGATTTTAGTTATGCCTCACACTGATCACGGTTATCGCTGGAAAGGCATGCTTTAGTTTGCAGTAAACCAACTGTGATGTTACAAAGGATTATAGATTTTATAATGTGATGTCCACCTTTTTTATCCCAGTGAGTTCCTGATGCAAAGAATAAGCTATAGCCAATCAGTTGCCTAGTTTATTTTAAATGGACCAATGTAAACCCTTGAGGAGCAACTTGAAATCTCTTTTCTTCTTACTTTTTGTTAATTAGCTTTCTTGATGGGTGGTCCCTAGTTCACTGAGCACATGCCTGAGAAATCAGAGTTAGCTCCTGATGATTCACCCTCAGCCCTGGCTCAAAGAAACCACACTTATTATGTTTTTGTTTTGTTTTCTTTTTTAGGTTGACAAGACAATGATGCATAGTTTTCCACAGAAGCACAAACGTTTTCCTACATGGATCACTGACTATCTTATTTACCGCTGTATTCCCAAAACCTGGTTACATGGTAGATGGTCCATAAATACACACTAAATGGATGAATAAATGTCGACTATGTATCAGGCATTAAGCTAAGCCCTTCACGTGTATCACCCTATTTTATCTTCCCAACAGCCCTTTAAGATAAATATTATTTTCATTCAACTGAAAAAAACTAACTTGTGTGACATTATTATGTGTCAAAGGTTGGAGTGGAGGACAGAGGGGAGGATTTAAGTATAATCAGAAAACTTTCTTTTTTCCATTTAACATATGTTCTTTTTATTTACTCCCACTAGATCATCAGACTCTAAATCAAGAGATATGATACACTGATAAAACATGTTTCTTTGATGAGTGTGGCATTAGGGATCCCTGCTTTAAGAAAAATAAATGAACAGCAGAACTCAGGAAGATCTAAGCATAAGAGGCACATAAATAAACTTTATTATGGCCTTGCAGATTAGCATAGGTAATTTACCAGCCCAGACTCATGTGTTTCCTTGTTCCTTTCTCAATATTCATGGTACTATCGTGATGAACTCAACACTGTGTATGTGTGTTGTGAGGTTTTCACAGAAATAAGGACAGTGTTTGAAAATGGCAGCAGCTCACATTTATTGTATGCTTCCCGTGGCCAAAACTACTCTCACAGAACCACTATGAGAAAGGTACAATAGGTTGAATATTCCTTATCCAAGAACTAAAGTGTTTTCAGTTTTGGGTTTTAGAGTATTTGCATATATCTAATGAGATATATTAGGAATGCAACCCAAGTCTAAACACAAGATTCATTATGTTTCATATACCTTATACACACAGTTCTAAGGTAATTTTATAGAATATTTTTGCATTGCAACTCATTGTGGGAGGTCAGGTATGGGATTTTCCACTTGTGGTGTCATGTTGTACTCAAACAGTTTTGGATTTTGGAGCATTTCAGGTTTTTGATTTTGGGATAATGAATACTCAACCTGTATTGTCATCTCCCTTTCACAGCTAGAGAAGGCTGAAGTGCACCAAGCAACCTTTACAAAATCAAATAGGTGTGTTGCAGCTCTGGTCTTTGACCTGGAACTGAAACCTATACCCTGTCCTGTCCTAAGTCATACTGCTGTCTGCACATCTGTTTGAGATTCCCTGTCTCATTGTTTTGATTGCCTTTTTTTTTTTTTTCTAAATATACCTCACTGCATTGTTTAATCACAGCCTCTAAGGGAGGATATTGGGGTTCTCAGTTTCTAGCCACCATCGGGCTGATAACTGCACATAGTTTTAGTCCTGAAAGCTATTTTCTAGCTACTTGGCCCTGGTGATCATTTGGGTACTTTACATTCACCCTTCCAGAGGCAGGGGCTAGAGACAAGGGAACAGAGAGGTCTTTCGAGGCCTCAAATAGGTGAATGTCATAGAGACGTGGACCAGATGTTAATCTGAAATCATTCTCTCAGTTCCCCAAGTCCCCAAACAATTCCCTGCTTTTGCTTCTTGCCAGAAAATAGGCTGCCCTAACAGTACATTTTCGAACATCTTCAGCTGAATCTTGACATGAATAGCAGCACAACGGTGGCATGGAGAAGGTATCAATAAACAGTTGGCTTATAGGTTTACCTACGTTATTTCATTTAATCTTCATGACTCCCTGAGACAAGTAGTATTGTTATCTTTATTTTGGAGATGAGGAAATAAGGTTAAAGAACTCGCCCAGGCGAAGTGCTTGCCCAAGATCCCAAGAAGGTTGGCATTCACCAATACCAGAGGTGTTTTGTGGAGAACGAGCGAGCCACTGAAAGCAACATGGCAACTGTTTGAAACATACTTCATTCCTACATCCCCTTTCCTCATGTCACATAGCAGAAAACCTTGGGACGTGGTGTCATGTACTCCATAAGCAATGAAGCATGAGACCTTTATTTCTGAGGGGCGTAATGCCCATCCTCTTCAAACCGTTATAAATGCTTATCTTTCCCTCAGGGATACCTCATCATTCTCACCCCTAATAAAAGATAACATTGCTTTGAAATCAGGTCATGAAAAAGGCTTTGCCATTACTATCACTCAGACATTAAGAAACATTAAGCAGTTATTATCGGACGAAGGCTACCGTAATAAGGCAAATGGTTACTACCTAACTGATTGCTTTTAGGGGTGAAATAACTGACCTTCTATGGACTCAAACTGAAATCTAGACATGTAGAATCTAAGCTAAGTGCCCATCCTACTTTTAGGATTTCAAGAATTTCCCCCAAGCAGCTGTTAGCGCTAACTGGGGAGGGAGAAGTGCATAAAAGAGCATTTACACACTTAAGTCTCTCTCATTTGTTACCTCAGATCATATAGTTGGGCTTGTGTCTTATAAGTTGAGACATGATCAAATAATGAACTTGGTCAGC